CTACATCCCCCCTTCCCCCCAACCTGTCTCTCACCCCCTGCTGCCTGAATTTACATTTTCACTGACTGGCTTTTTTGTTTGCATTGCATGGCAGCCTCTGGCTTCTTTACTATTCCTTCCATCCAGGAAGAGCACACACATCAACTACAGGTGCTTCCTCAGCCTGATGAAGGGTTTTTAAAACCAAAAGCTTACTAAGATGTATTTCTCCAACTCTTCAGTTGGTCTAATATTAGACTGACCCAAAGAACCTTGTTTGCCTATGCCCTTAGACCAACATGGCTACAACCTACAGCCCTTAACACATACACAACACAAGTTTTGCTTTCAGAACCTTGAGGTGCACTTTCCCAGAAACCCCTGCACCTATCTCCTTGAAACTTGGCAGTCCTCATGCCCTCAGAAGGGGGTACCATCCCTGCTGCTTTCATCCACATCTGCCAAAAAATGAGAAAGTTATATGTATTTCAGTTATTCCCCATTATACTTTATGGCCGAATCAACAAATCTCTCTGAATCAGCACCAAATCTTTTGAAACTGATTTGGCAGAATGGATTCGGGACAATGACCCGAATCTCCGAATCAAACCACTGTCCTCCAAATCGGCCGAATCTGAATTGAATACTTCCCTATTCGCAAAGGCCTACTTCTTATGCCTTCTCCTCCCCATGACAAACATGAAACTGTGTAAACACCAGCCAAAATCTGGCCCTGACAAATTTTATGACTACATGCTGCAATATGCAGAAAGGGAAATGGGAAATAGAGCCCTGTTTTGTTGTCAGCCTATTGCTCTATACATATAAAAACAGAGAGATCTTTACAACTCAATGACCATAGGATCATTTACTTTGCTGATGGAGACTGGATGTTGACAAATTCTAAGCAGGCTTTTTGGTCTCTTAGAAAGATTAATACTAGTTTATAATTTTCATAGCCATAAGGAGAGTTCAGGTTTGCAATAAATTTCAAGAAACTACATTATAATAAATATTTACTAATGCTGAAGAGTTTTTGTTAACTTTGTTAAATTTTGAAGCAAAAAATATAAAGGAGTTTTATTAAAAAAATAGTTGTGAGTTTTTTAACCAATCAACTTATTATGCTAGTACAGAATAAGTATTACTGCTATGTATTTATTTTTCCTTTTGTTTTAAGAGAACTTCTTCATGAAGTGCAGTTTCAGATATGCAACTGTAAGGAAAATTATTGTCATGCATGCAAGGGCCACATGATTCTGCCACAGGCCCCAAGCAGTTGCTTCAACCCCTTGATTTTTCAAGTATTCTTCTCCAGTACACCACCTATAAATAAACACAAACAGAGTTTTATAAAAGATAGCTTTTTGCAAGGTATCTGCTATTTTATAAACCTTTAAACTGAAATTCCACAATGACAACAAAGACATTTTTGTACCAGCCAAGCTTCAGAAAAATACATGTAGACACTTCGAATGTTGAGGCCTCTTAACTCACATGCTCCAAACATATACATTTTTCCTCATTTTATTGAATGAGTGAAATGCAGAATGTAATGGCATTTCCGTATCGCTATGAATATCTTTACTATGTCTTTCACTAATTACCTATGTAGCATGTTATCACTGCAAACAACAAATTACAGTCATTTTTAAACAAAAAAATACTGTAAGCACCTTTCTGTAGTTGATAAGTACATTCTAATCACAGTAATGTGGATAAACTTTGTAGTCTTATAAACGTTTCATGGGAAAATTCATTTTAATATGAAACAGATACTTACGGTTGGCTGACCTGTGCATTCCCATCACTCCAACTTGTGTTAGTGCTGCCAGCACAAAAATTGAGTCCAGTAAGTTCATTGATTTGCAAAGCCTTTTAAAATCAAATTAAAACATACAAACACAAATGAGTGACTGTTTGAAGGGATAACATTTGAAGGCATAACTATTTGAAGGGATAACACAGGATTAGATTTATTTTTTTTTTAAAAATTTATTTCACAAAATATGATATCATTTACAATCTCAAAGCACATCCACCTTTTCTAATACAGTAGCACAGCTGATTTTGTTGTAACAGGCTTCCCTAGTGCTACAGGCTGTGCTATACTGCCCTGCTCTGTCTTCTGGGCAGGGAAGGAGAAGCCAGAGGGAGGGGAAGCCCAAAGCCTCCAGATGCTTCTGCAGCCAAAGTAACAAGGGAATCTGTGGTCAAGTGAGAGCCCAAGGACCATAATTCAACCCCTTGTGGGCTCCATGTAGCCCACTAGCTGAATTAAACTAAATATGTCAGGTCGTTTTTGGTGTACTTAAACAGTTTGACCTCTTCCACTTATCCACAAAACTTGAATTTATCTCTCTCCGTCACAATGAGAAGTTCTCTTTTGACAAAATATATTTAAATCCAATGCATAGCAAAATATAGCACTCACTGTCATTGCATATCGAGGAATACTGAAGTATTGGAGCCAGGAAAGCCAAGACATGATGCTTGTAAGATTTACCAGCAAGCCAGAGAAAATCTAGATTGTAAATAAACATAATAAGAAATGTAAGTCCTATTTCAAAGGAAGAAAATTAAGTTTAATTTTTGTATAGTCCCTTTTTTCATCCTTGTCACAAGCTATTTAGCAGAATTCACAGATTTCATTGGAATTTGACAGGCCATGCTGTGAGCACTTCTCCTATGGTCTCAAACTTGTGACTTCTTGGACTGTTAAGTGTACACCTTAGTGCCCATACCACCACAGCCCCCATCTCTTATAATAATCAAATATGTACAAACAACTGCCATTAGAACTAAATACCATACAAAATCTCTGAGTCATATTATAATAACAGGGAATAACAAGCGGTCAGTGACTTGGGCCAGTACCTCAGCTGTGTCAAATTTATCCTTGGCTCAGCTACAGAGAATAAGGGATATGTGGCTGTAAGCTACCTTTCTGTTCCCCCAGTCCTGAATTAACTAAGGGCAGCTCTAACCTCGGCTGGCTGCACCAATCCCATAAGGAATGCAGCACTAGCTGAAGAGCAAAGGGGCACAATCTACCATCTCTGGCCTGGCCCTTCCCCTCTTTTTCCACATTACTACTGTATTTAGTGCTATTGCTAGATGTAAGTCCCTGTCCTGGAAGGTGTTCATAGTTAGGTCCAGCTTCCTTTACAGTATTTGCGGTAAGACAAATTGGAATATCATACAGCTAAATCCTTGATCTTTCCATAATTCAGATCCAGATTATCTATATCTCAGTATTGCTCTGAACTCCACTGCCACTTGAGCTTATATCTTAATAAATAAATAATGTTACTCACTATCATAAAGACAAATGCGATGGTCATGAGTAGATTTGCTATAGCCACCATGCTCTGTCCTGCTGCAATAGCTAGTGCCATTGAAGTGGCAGTGTATGACACCATCATAAGAGTAAACATCATTATAAAGAAGGCATCTACTGTTGGCTTCAAACCTTAGAAATTAGAACAAGAGGAATGTCAGTATAATTTTGTCAGGTTGTACCATAACTTTCGTGTAAGCTTTCCTAAGATACAGATAGTAGGCCATATTTATAAGAATATATTTTGATGTAGAACAAGCAAATCTGCCTCTTCCTTTTTTCCCTGCCTCTTCTCCCCACCCAGGTAGACACCTCGGACCCTTGGCAGCAATGCCTAATAACTAGCATGAGACTTCTTTTACAAATTTCTATGTGTTAGCAGCTGTGGCAGGGGTTCAGACTCCAAAGACAGGGAGACTGAGGAATGTATTTAGAACTGTTATGGAGAGACTTAGCAGAATAGTAGGATGGAGGAAAAATATATCTTGAGACATCACAGACTGAAGTTTTCTGAACAAGCAGCAGCTCATACTTCACACAGCAGTAGGTCACAAGCAATAATTACCAAAAAATATTTAATCTATTTCCAGCAGATGGATTTGTTATAATCTAGGGACCCCTAGTGGTTGAGGATTTAACAAAAATGTCAAAATTATCTGTGTGAGAGGCAAGGTTTTCTTATGATAACTTTTGCTGCACAAACTATGTAGTTTGGATAAAGTTAGACATGCTTTTGAATACAAATCATTCTTCCTTGGGTCTGAGGTCTGAAGAATAATGTTTTGCAATTGAAAGTTTGTCTAACATTATTCCAACATCATAGTGGGTGTATTTACATGTGCAATTACCCCAACAGAATAAACTCTGGTGCAGTTTGCACAAGAGTCAGCTGCTCCTGGGTGCAGCATTTACATGTGTGCCTGGGTTCACAGCAATTTGAGCTGGAATGGAGCAGGCCCAGGTTGGCAGGGATCCCAGGGGTAAGTCCCAGTCTCCTGCTGGCAGTGTTGGGGCCGGCTGAGGCACAAGAGTGTTACAACATGAGGCTAACCAGCAGGCAACCCCACACTGCAGCACCCTTGAGCCCCAGCCAGGCCTGGTCACCATTTACATACGTATTTTGGTGCAGTAAATGACTCCGCCACAGGATAGTACTTGTCCCAGACAGTACTATCCTACAGTGTAGTTAATTAATTTACTGTGCCCCAATATGGGTGCATATGTAGATGGTGACGCTTTACTGGGGAGCTGGTTAGTCAGCTCCACAGTAAAGTGCACATGTAGATGCACCCAGTTGTTCCAATAAAAGATATCACCCTAAGAAATCCTTGCCTCTCTCATAATATCGGATCATCACAGCTACAACATGACTCTTGCACTATTAAATCAAATGTTTCTCAGCCATATAAATGGCCCTTACTATATATCCTGGTAGTTTCAGAATATCTCATATCCTCAAGAAGAAAGCTTCAGAGTAAGTGATGATTTATTTTACTTTAAGCTCTAAAAAACCCTAAATATTTTAACTGACTGAATTCTTTCTCCATGAAAGCTTTTGAGATGACTTGCCTGAAATGTGTGATGAACATGGTATTTGAAACTGCATTAGTGGTTTAAAAAAGGATAGCTGCAGTTTTGGTGTCCTTTTTAACAAGGGAAACTACCACTTAAAAGAGTAGGCTGACATCAGTGTCCAGAAGACTGAGGTCTTACATTAGGCTTTTCTTTTGCTAGGTATTCTTATTTTATTCGTATTTTACGATGGAACAATTTTAAAAAATCACTGAAAGAAAAGAGAATGGCATGGAAGCCATTATAGAACCATCAAAAATGATGCTGAAACTCATGTTTCAGGGACAATACAAATTAAATATATTGCAAACTTCTATCTTGAAGATTTGCAGGTGTGCTCTGTCCAGCAATTTGCATTATAGGGCAAATAGCAACCTGCAGACATTCCACCCAGTAAGAGAAAACAGTGTCACAACGAGGTGTTGCACGTACAGAGGGAAAAGATGTAAGAAGGAAGATTTGACCTAACCTACCCCTTGGATACCAGAACTGATTGACAGGTGCTTAAGTGAATGTCCTTTGTTGGTTATGATTCACTTTTCTTTTTAGTTTTAATGCAACTTTTGGATAGGGCACTTGCCTAACATGAAATAAACTATACAGGTGAAGATGATGCTTGGCATAGTCCTCATGGGTATTAGATCAGCCATTAATTTGGAGATGAAATATGCAGACATTCTGTAGTACCCACTGATATATTCATGTCTAGAACACAGAAATATATACAATATGTTACAGATTATGTCAGAGTAGCAAAACAATCAAACCATTTTAATATGAGCTAGATTTTGCTAAATCATGCATGCAGTTCTGAATGGAAAAATAGGCTATGTTGTGGCCAGTAAGCTGTCATAGTATTCATAGTAATTACATGTGGGAATGTACTTGCATTTTTATGCACATAATTGTATGCACAGTACTCAGCATCATAAAGCATCAAATTCATTATAAAAGAAATAGATATGTCTATAGAAAAGGACAACTTTCTTGTGTCATGGCTTGTAGTCCACCAATTCATTTCTAGCAATGATATCTAGAAAACATTCCAGGAAAAGGAGCAGTAAAGGCATTGACCCTGCAGCTGCCCCTCTCCCTTGTTCTCTGCAGCTTCCCCAGATTGGGAATCTGTGTGGGGGATGTGTGGAGAACAGACTGCCTCATATCTCCTGGCCCTTGGGGAATGGAGAGGCAGGACAAACACCTTACCTGCTCTCTGAGCAGGGGACCTGGGCACTGACTTTTTTATTTATTTATTTTTATTTGATTTCAAAGCCAGAGCCTGCAACTTCATGCATGGGGCTGCAGGTGCAGGGGCCTGCAGGTGCTACACAAAGGGGAAACACCCATAGGCAGCAGAATTTAAAAGCTGGTGTCTGTAGCCCTGCATAAGTAGCTATGGATGCAGGGCTTGAGTCCCACACAGCACTTCAAACACGGTGCCTACAACCTGCCCCTGGAGTGGAAGGGACAGAGGGCAAAGCCCCTTGTTGGAGGAAGAGGTTGGGAGCTTTGACCTGCTGCTCCCTTCCCAAACTTGTCCAGGAGGGGAGAGGAGGGCTGAGAGAGAAGCATACAAACATGTGTTCTTGTGAGAGAAACTCTCAAGGAAGATCTTCCAGGTTGTTACCTAGAAGAGCTTCTCCCAGAAGAGGCATGTTCCCTCAGGGAAAAACTGAACAAACACCTATACATTTGTCATTTCTACCAGGAGAACAGCAATTGTCCTGGTATAAATACAAGGCATTTCAGAGGTGCTTTAGTTCAAAAGCTCACTGCTGCTGTTTTCTCTGCGCTGACATGCATTTCGCTGCTTATACAACTGCACACAGCGCAGCACCGTACGCATCAGCTCACTTGCAGAACAGACTCAATTAATCAAGTCTAGTCAGGAGCAGTGGATCTCTGGCAGGCTGCTGAAGGAAAAGGTATGTGTATAAGTGCCCGTAATGTCCATACATGCCATACAGTCCATAAAGTTCCAAGTATCTGATTAGGCAATAAGAGCAATTCCATCTGATTTTGGTATTAAACCATACACAGATCTAATGATCTGAAATGGACAGTTCATGAACCAAGTCTGAAAAAGCTTCTGGAGAATCTCTTCTAGGTAACAACCTGGAAGATCTTCCTTGAGAGTTTCTCTCACAAGAACAAATGTTTGTGTGCTTCTCTCCCAGTTTGATTGTAACTGCTGGTATTTATGGACAAAACCAATTGCAAAAATCATGATGGGTTTGCAAACAATTCACATATAGGATAAAATAATTCATTTGCAATGAATATTAATTACTGAGAATAGTTTGACCAACTTGATTAAGCATACGGAGATGACAATTTAGTAAGGTAACAAAAAGACCAACAAGTGTCAACAACAGAGTAAGTAACACTATAAGTAGGCAATGTCACCCATAACATAATGCTTTACTTACATAAATATCTTTTTTTCTACAACAAAAAGTTCAATAGCTGAAATACTGCTGAAACACTGGTTGGTGGTCATGAAGAACATTGCACCAACTCTAAGGAAAAATGAATATTAACAGTTATTGAATTAACTGCATAAAATATTTAAATTATTTGATAATATCCAAAACCTGTATATTATACTGTGTCTAAACCTTTCTATAGGATGACTGGAATCCATTGGTATGTGCTGTGCTAACCTACAACTTCCATAATTAACACAAAAATTGTCTCTATTTCCTTATTTCTCAGAAGAACTTCTAAGAGTAGGCGCTTTCATAGTTTCATAGTTAGTAGGGTCAGAAGGGACCTGAGCAGATCATCAAGTCTGACCCCCTGCCATGGGCAGGAAAGGATGCTGGGGTCAAACAACCCTGGCTAGGTGATTATCTAGCCTCCTTTTGAAGACCCCCAGGGTAGGAGCGAGCACCACTTCCCTTGGGAGTTGGTTCCAGATCCTAGCTGCCCTGACTGTGTAGTGCCTCCTGATATCTAGCCTGAATCTACTCTCAGTCAACTTATGATTGTTGTTCCTTGTTACTCCCAGTAGTGCTTGGGGGAACAGGGACTCTCCCATTGCATGCTGGTCCCCCTTGGCCAGTTTACAGACGGCCATCAGATCCCCTCTCAGCCTTCTCCTGTGGAGCTGAACAGGTTCAGGTCCCGTAGCCTCCAATCATAGGGCCTGCCTTGCTGTCCCCTGATCATGCGAATGGCCCTCCTCTGGACTCTCCCAGTGCTGGCCACATCCCTCCTGAAGTGCGGTGCCCAGAACTAGACGCAATACTGCAACTGTGGCCTGACCAGTGTCGTATAGAGGGGGAGGATCACCTCCTTGGACCTGTTCATGATGCATCTGTAGATGCGTGACAAGGTGAGGTTAGCCTTCCTGACCGTGTCCTCACATTGGCGGCCCATGTTCATTTTGGCATCAATAATGACTCCAAGATCCTTTTCTGCCTCTGTGCTGACAAGAAGGGAGTTCCCCAGCCTGTAGGTATGCTGCTGGTTCTTCCTCCCCAGGTGCAGCACCTTGCACTTGTCAGTATTGAAACCCATCCTGTTTTTATCCGCCCACCCCTGTAACCTGTCCAGAACTAGTTGCAGCTTGTCCCTCTCTCCTAGCGTGCCCACTTCTCCCCACATCTTAGTGTCATCTGCGAATTTGAACAAGGTGCTTTTCACCCCCTCATCCAAGTCACTGATGAAGATGTTGAACAGTGTGGGCCTGAGGACCGAGCCCTGGTGAATCCCACTGCCCACATCCCTCCAGGTTGAAAATGACCCATCCACCACCACTCTCCGGGTGCAGACCTCCAGCCAATTTGCAACCCATCTGACTGTGTAGGCATCGACACCACAGTCACCTAATTTTTTTAATGAGAATGGGGGGAGAGACAGTGTCAAAGGCCTTTCTAAAGTGTAGAAAGACTATGTCCACTGTATAGTCTTTCATACAAGATTTTCTTTTTTTCTTTTTTATTTCTTCCCGGCACCACATTTACATTGTTTTCCAGCACCACCTTTACATGTGCGCCCAGGAATGCAGCACATTGGGCTGGGTCAGAGCACCCCAGCTGGCAGAGGGCCCGAGGAGTCAGTCCGCTAGCCTGGGGCTGCTCTGACCCAATTCCATGTGCCTCACCCAGCCACATCAGCTTCTACATGTGTGGTGCTGTGGAGTTAATTAGTTTCCTGTGGCCTAAAAGGGCTTCATGTGTAGGCACATGTTTACTGTGGAGCTAATTAGTATACTTGGCAATAAACATCTCTTGTAGATGTGTCCAGTGAGGTATAGCCTGATTCTGCTCTTCATGAAATTAAAGGTAAAAATCCTTTTGACTTGAACAGGAGGAGGTCCTAATTCTGAAGAAAGCTTTTGAGCTATCTGAGTGATGACTGCAATATTTATTATTGTAATATATGGGTGACAGCATTTTGGATGGACTCAAAAAAATGAAAAAGATTCAACTGATTTACTTAGAGGTTTTTTTAATCACCTTTAAATTGATACCAGGTATAGAAAAATTTAGTTTCCAAGATCTTTTTCAGAAGGTATGGGAAACTGAAAAAGAGAAATAAGAAGATAGAACTATCTGCTAAAATTAAAGACCAACATTTTCAAACTTGTATGTCAAATGTAAGGCTACAGTAGGCACTGGGTGCATGGGCACTTTACTGTGAAGTAACGTAGTTTACTGCTCAGTAAGCATGTGCATCTACATGTGCACATGTTTACTATGTGGTAAACCTTGTAAATCATAACTAAACTTGCTACCTGTAAATGCAAGTACCAAATTTACTTGCGATTACTAACTGCACAGTAGCACTCATGTAGACACCTGACTGGGAGCAAATTTGCTCCTGATTAGCCAGCCACCAAGGGACAGGAGATTGCTCCCTGCCCCCAGGAACTTCCTGCTGCCAGGGTGGACTCCACCACCGGAGTCCGGGTGGGGACTACATCCCCCTGCACCAGCAGCAGGGAGCTTCAAGGTCATGATCAGGGAACAGGGGCTGGGAGATCCTTATCTCCCAGTGCCAGCTCTGCAACCACAAGACAGGCAATGGAAGATCCTTATCTCCCAACGCAAGCTCCACTGTCACCGGACTTGAGCTGGGAGGTCCTTTTCTTACAGAGCTGAGCAGGAAACAGGCTCTCCCACCTCCACCCCATGATCAAGGTGTGCAGTGATAGAGGCAAGGGGCTTGGAAAGAGCTGCAGATGTGAGGCAAATCCCAGAAGGGGACTTGCTGCTAGCTGCCCCAACAGTGGATCAAGGCAGGGGGATGGGACGTGCCCCTCCCCTTCAGCTTTTTCCAAGCCCCCTGTCCTGATCAGGGAGCTGGGTCTGGGAGCTCCCTGCTGCTGGGGCAGGGGGACACTGTCTCTGCCTCAGCCGCAGGCAGCCCTCCCCCTGCCTCCCAGGGGCAGGGAGTAAAGCCCCAGCCCTGGCTAGGAGACAACTGTTTCCTGGCCTGGTGGTCCCTGCCAGCCCCTGGGCTAGCATCCAGGGGGATACTAGAGCTCCCCTTGGTGGCAGCAGGGGCCCATGAGCAGCAAATCTGCTCCCCCTTTCTTACACGTGTAGACATCTGCCTGGGAGCAATCCTCGTGAGTAAACTGCTCCCGGATCTAATGCATGTGTAGACACACACCCATTTAAGAATGGGTAGATCACAAGAGCTGCTAAGTATCCATAGCTTCCACTTGTATATGTTTCTGATGATAACTTTTATATAGAAAACTTTTATATCACTACTTCTGATGATAACTTTTATATAGGCACTTAATACACATTTAGATCTTTATTATGCAAACACTGAAGCAGTTGAGTAATCTGTGCTTGTGTCTGCCTGTATAAAGTTAAGCATATGTGTAAAATTTTTGCAGGATCTTAGATAGCTAGCTTCAGGCAACAAAGTCCAAAAATGTTGACCAAAACATTTTACATAAAGGGAATCTTTGCAGACAATAGTTAATGGTTGCAGTGGTTAATATTTAATTATGTATTTTAATACACTGTATACTTTTCAGTAATCTTGTACTGCAGACCTAGAACATTGTGTGGAATTATACTTTGCTACACAAATATCCCATGGACTACTTGTACAAGTTACTACACGGGATAAGTCAAATTTATAGAACTGGTCCTTAGGGCTTCATTCTACAATGAGCTGATGCAGGTGGAGGGATCTATACATAGAGTTTATGATAAGATTAAGGCTTATTTTGTAATTTACAGATTAGAGAGAAGGGTCTAATTTAAACTGATAGCTACAGCTTTCCACAAAAGAGCAAAGTAGTTAATTTTTAGTCTAAAAAATTATCAGTACCTGTAAAAAAAAATAACAGCATGTTTTACCAAAGCTTTCAAGGTTTAGGCTTAAAATTGACTAACCTGTTTTGTATGCCAGTAAAATCATTTTTCACTCCAAAGAAAATAGCACCTACCACAAGTCCTAGGAAAACTGTTACACAAAGCTTAAAAAAAAGAAAGAAAAAAGAAGAATTTCATATAACATACATTTGTATTTTAATGAACACTTCTTAAATGTTCAAAATTGCAAAATCTTTATGAAATGTAGCTGGTAAATACAGACTTAAAAGAAACATAAGAGATGAGAAAATGAAGGATAATAGCCGACAGCAAGAAGGCACCATGGCCACCCCCTGCCTGCAGAGCCGTGAGGGCAGCAAGGTTCAGCAAGGCGGGGGGGAGTGTATTTCTGTGCCCACTCCCAGGAGCAGGGTGGGGGAGTGAGGGCAGTGGTGCCCCTCTGCAGACAGACATGGGGCAGGGGGCCTGCATGCAAGTGCTGCCGCCATCACCCTGTGCCACTGCCTCCCAGGAGCAGGGCCAGGGGGCCGAGGGCAGTGGCACTCCTCTGTGAGCTGTGCAGGTGCTGCCCACCCAGCCAGACACAGCAGTGTGGAGCTTGCATGCGGCAGCCATCACCACCGCCACCCACCACCCTGCACTTTGAGTGGGGGCAGAAAAGAGGCTCGCACATGGCGGCAGCGACCACCACCCACCACCTCCCACTCCACATCCAGCTGCCACCACCAGAAGGGGTACACCTGTTAAAAAAGGTTGAAAACCCCTTGTCTAGAGCATACATTAATCATATTTTTTGGCCATGAATCAGGCTGCTTGCAGACATTAAAAAAAAACAAAAAACAGCACTTTAAACTTAATGAGCTCCCGTACCAATCCCAGTGTATGCCCATAAAAAGCAGCATATTAGCTGGACTCAGCTCACCCAACATCTGTATTGATTGGGTGCTTTAGTGGGGCTTTTTTGGCACTTTTATCTAATAGCTGATTGACTCAGCTATTAGATAAAAGCACCTGCCTGATCCATACAGATGCTGTGGAGCTGGGCCAAAGTAACATACAGTTTATGGAGTAACATATTTTTTTTTAACATCTGCAAGCAGCTTATATGCCCTTTTGAATACTATGATGGAACTAGCAAATTGCCTGTCATGAATGACATGGGGGGGAGCGGGCAGGGACGGAGCAATGCCACCCAGTGCCCTGTGGTGCAACTGCTTTGCTGCCAGACTAGAACTGTGCAACTGTAACATTTTTAAATAGCAAAGATATGAATGGATTCAGTGATATAATCTAAATGATTAAAGTATGTATGTCATAGTCTCTTAAGAATAACTGCAAGTGATGAAAATCTCAGCAAGAATGATGGTATCAGGCAGTTCACTCATGTTTAATCATGCAGGATGTATGAATCTTTACACTAGAAAGCATTTGATCCATGGTACCATATTGTTAAGAACCTGCAGAAAGAACCAAATGTCAAGGATAATTCAGCCACTAAACCAGCTGTAGTGGGAAACAAGGATCATATCAAGACCAATTTGGAGTGGATTAGCAAGCAGGGTTTAGTTAACTCTGTACCATTTACAGAATGTATTGAAAATCCATTCTTAATGAGGCTTGGAAGATGGAAAAGATTGTGAGAAAAGAGTCAGGGCCATTAACCCTGGCATATTATAATGCCCTTGAGAATATAATACTTGTCACAAGGTCAAGCTTTTACAAAGCAATTATTAAGGATATCCATAATATCAGCATACCAACATATTTATACATAAAGCCTTTTTTTACTTTTAGGGATTCTGAATAGATTTCCACAATGATTGTGATTTAATTTTAATCAAAATATTTTCTAGATCCAGACAATTTATAGCAGTGATAAAAAATGACTTTTTTTTATACTTTTACATTGATCTGGATCATTTCATATTATTCAGAGGCAGAATTCAAATGGGACTTTTCCTATAGTAAGGACTGCTGGATCAGGCCTATAAAAGTCATTTCATAAGGGATACTTCATTCTCCAGAAGAAATTAATAATACATTCTTTGCTTAATATTGACCTATAGATTTAAATTTACCCATGAACTTTGTAAACATGATGAATTCTCCAAAAAGCAATGCTAAGTAGACTGTATAAAGCCTATACTATAGAATATACTTCTACTCCTTTAAGATGCTACAACTGAGTTGCGTTTTACCTTATACATTTTGCAGAAAGCATAATGTTCCTTAGGAGATTATGTCAAGCAATATACATTTTAGGAGATCAGGAAAACATAGATTTCATAGACATTAAAGGCTGGAAGGGACCCGGAAGATCATCGAGTCCAGCCCCCTGCCCAGAGGGCAGGAAGTGAGCTGGGCTCATAGGATCCCAGCAAGATAAGCATCCAATTTGCTCTTGAAGGTGTTCAATGTAGGTGCTTGAACCACCTCCGATGGCAGGCTGTTCCAGACCTTGGGGGTTCGGACAGTAAAGAAATTCTTCCTTATGTCCAGCCTGAAACGGTCTTGCAGTAGTTTATGACTGTTCAACCTCGTCATCCCTTGGGGTGCTCTGGTGAACAAACGTTCCCCCAGATCCTGGTGGTCACCCCTGATAAACTTATAGGTGGCCATCAGATCACCCCCAAGCCTGTGCTTTTCCAAGCTAAAGAGCCCCAAGGCTCTCAGCCTGTCGTCGTAAGGTCTGTTTTCCTGACCTCCGATCGTGCGCGTGGCTCTTCTCTGGACTCTCTCAAGCTTCTCCACATCCTTTTTGAATTGCAGAGCCCAAAACTGGACGCAGTACTCCAGCTGCAGCCTCACCAAGGCCAAGTACAAGGGGAGAGTAACATCCCGGGATTTGCTTGAGAAGCATCTATGGATACAAGCCAGCGTTTTGGTCATTTTAGTAGCCACAGCATCGCATTGCAGGCTCATGTTCATTATGTGGTCAGTGATGACCCCCAAGCCTCTTTCTTCCGTAGTGCTAACCAGCGTAACACTGCCGAGCCTATAAGGATGCTGCAGGTTTTTCCTCCCAAGGTGGAGAACCTTGTATTTTTCAGTGTTAAACACCATCAGGTTCTCGTCCGCCCATTTCCTGAGCCTGTCCAGGTCAGCCTGGATCACCTGCCTGTCTTCTGGCATGGATGCTTTGCCCCAAAGTTTGGTGTCATCGGCAAACTTGGCCGGTCCACTCCATCTTAGTGATAGTGTTGTCCACCAGAACTTAATTAATTTATGAACTATAGTTAATGATAAGTTGGCTCATTCAGTTTCCCTGGTGGGGTGGCGGGATACAACTGGTCAAACCCTGAAGTGTAACTAAACTGCAGAGTGCATTCAGAAGAGTGGATCAGACTGTGAGGACTAGCTTTGCAGTGTTTGCTGTAATAGGGAGGAGATACATGAAACTACTTTCATCCAGCTACTACCAGAGAAAATATAACATACAGGTTTCCCTCGTTTTATGCTGTACATGCGTTCCTGGAAAACAGCATGTAACTCAAATTTGCATAAAGGGAACCCATTTTACAATGTAACAAATAGGGATACATTACAAGACCTTGACTGTACTGACCCCCAGACCCATTTCTACCACTTTTACAAGACAATTTTGGTATTTACCAACAGCAGACAGTACACACAAGCACAGGGCACTATTATAACGGGGTTGGCAACTACAGAAACACGTGTCACAGACAACAAGCAAGGAGCACAGATCCACACAGGAGACTATATTTTTGTGCGTGCCACTCCCACAATGCACCGCACAAAGCAGCTGACTGCACGCTTCCACCACACTGATTGCATGAGTGAATTTACCTCACATATAATGGATTTTTGGTCTAAAAAGGGTCATTGCATAAGAGTAAATTTGCACATGCAGAACCCACATAAAGCAAGGGAAACGTGTAGTTTTATTCAAGGAAAATTGTATCAGAAACATTTAATATCCTTCTATGACAAGAAAACCAACTCCTTGAAAAAAGACAACGCTTAATTTATCTAGACTGAAAACTTTTGACACAGTAACTTATGGACAGTTACTGATCAGACGGGAAAGGACAGGGATCAACATTACAAACATGAGGCAAGTAAGGAATTCGCTCAAAGAGAGATTACAGAGGGTGATGCTGAAAGGCAAGTTATCTGACTGGAGGGTGGTTATCAGGGATCTGTCTGAGGATGTATCTATCCTGTTTAGCCTTTTTATTAGCAAACTTAGTAGTAGAACTAGAACTCTCCTCATGCAATTTGAAGATGACACTGAGATAGGGAGTACTGTCAGGATGAATACTAGATTATTTTACAAGAGGCTTTAGATAATCTTGTGGAATGGAACATTAGCAATTCAATTTAACAGCAGGGAGCGTAAAGTCATGTACTCAGGGATTAAAAACCAACGCTTTGGTTATAAGAGGGGCACGTACACTGGAAACTACGGCGGAAGAGAGGAACCTAAGTGTATTGATTGATTGGATGACTGTGAACTACCAATGTGATGTGGTTATGAAAAAGCTAAAGTAGTTCTAGCATGTATGGGGTGAAGTATCTCCCGTAGAGAGAAGGAAATACTACTGCCATTATATAAGACACTGATAAGACACCAAGAAGACAGTGTGCAATTCAGATCACTACTCTTCAGGGTAAAAAAATAACTTAAATTGAACAGGTTGACAAAGGGCCAATACGGTTAAGGAAATGAAGCTTTTTTTATATGAAAGAAGAAATTTGACTTGTTTCATTTAACAAAATAGGGTTTGAGAGGAGACATGATTACTTTTTAGAAGTACATTTAGTGGGGTAAATGTTAAGGAAACAGAAGAACTTTCTAGGAGGAGAAACAACACTGGACAAGATTTGAACCAGGGGTCAGCAACCCCCAGCATGTGTGCCGAGCACAGCACGCAAGGTCATTTTGCTCAGCAAACCAACACCAGCCTGGGCTCTAGGCAGCTGCTGCCAGCCACAAATCCTGGGCTGCTCCCAGAAGGTGGCTGGGAAACTGCAAGCCCTGCTGCAAGCTCCATGGTTGGCAGCAGCTACCCAGAGCCTGGGCCGGTTGCAGCCAGGAGGCTGCAAACATCTGCTCTGGGCTCCAGCATAAGCTCCATACCGATCGGTGCACGTGCATCTCGGAGCAGATGGTGTGGGAGGGGCCTGAGGCAGTGCAACCCCGGCCTCTTCCCTGCTGCTGGCACAGAGCTGATGACTGGGCTCCAGAGCCCAGAGCAGCTGTTTGTAGCCAGCCTGGGGCATCTGCAGCAGGCAGGCTGCAAACAGCTGCGCCGGGCTCCACAGCCCCAGCATCAGCTCCATGCTGGCGGCGACTGCACATGCACCTTAGAGCAGACAGCAGAAAGACTGTGCTGCCTCAGGCCCTATTCCCACCATCTGCTCTGAGAAGCGCATGCACCTGCCAGTATGGAGCTGATGCCAGAGCCCAGAGCAGCTGTTTGCAGCCTCCCGGCTGCAGCCAGCCCAGGCTCTGGTAGCTGCTGCCAACCACAGAGCCCAGGCTGCTTGCAGCAGGGCTTGCAGCTGAGCCCACCTGACTCCCACCTGTTCTGAGCCCAGCCCCACACCAGGACAAGGCTGGCACTGCCCCTTGCCAGGAGCACTGCACCTTTCGTGGGCTTAGCTGTGTGAGGTAGGTGGGTGGTTGGGCTGATGGGCAGGCTCCAAGCCAGGGCCTCAGCCAGCTGCACTGCAGCCCAGGGGCTGGCTCCCCAGGGAAGCACATGGACCCTGGTGGGACCAGGGCACTGTTGGACTTTGTCCATTGGCCCAGGAGGCCAGCTCCATGCACCCATGCATCTGGTTCTGTGTGTTGGTCTGCCTCTGTCTGGTTCTGTATGTCTGTGCGCGCGCACGTCTGGTTCCAGATGTGTGTGTGCATGCGTCTGGTCTGGGTGTGTTCTCATTCTCTGTGTTTGTGCACAATGGTTCTCTGTGTGCGTGTCTAGTTCTGTCCCTGCTCTCCTTTTTCTTTCTCTCTCTCCCCTTTCCCTTATTTGTCTCTTTTTTTCTCTCTCATTGCAACATGCTCAACAAAAAAGGAATACAAAACAACAAAGGCAACATTTATGATTATTAAATATACTAATATGCAGTGCGTCCTGCCATGTACCCCCCCCCGCCCTCATTTTGTTTTTCTGCATGCCAGCACTCCAGCACCTTCCAAGGTAGACGTGGGTTTTTTCAGCACTCCAGCCAAAAAACTTTGCCTACCCCTGCTATAAACTGACTATGAAGAAATTCAGATGGAGATTTGATCTATCAGAGAATCATAGAATCATAGAATCAATGAGTCGGAAGGGACCTAGACAGATCATTGAGTCCAACCCCCTGCCATGGGCAGAAAGGAGCACTGGGGGTAGCAGGGGTCATAAGACCCCAGCCAAGCGCCTATCCAGTCTCCTCTTGAAGATCTCCAGGGAAGGTGAGAGCACCACCACTCTGGGAAGCCTATTCCAGGCTCTGGCCACCCTTACCGTGAAGTAGTTCTTCCTAATATCTAACCTAAACCTATCCTCCCTCAGCTTGTGGCCATTGTTCCTGGTGACTCCAAGGGGGGCCCTGGTGAACAGACTTTCCCCGAGTCCCTGCTGGTGGCCCCTGATAAGGTTGTAGGCAGCCACAAGATCCCCCCTCAGTCTCCTCTTGCGGAGACTGAAAAGATTCAGGTCCCTCAGCCTCTCCTCATAGGGCTGGCCACAGAGGCCCCCAACCATACGAGTGGCCAGAAAAGTTAAAGTTTGTGATGGTCTTCTTAGCCAAGTAGCGGAAGCAAAGAATGTGAATTGTTTTAGCACTAGACTTGTGAAGTTTATGGAAGTATAATAGCCTATAAAGCAAGAGGATACGGAGTTCTTGGTTCAAAAAACACAGGGTATGACATAATTAAAGTAAAACTTGAGCCACCTTAACTAAAATACGGTAAATTAAAATAATCTATTGAATATCCTTTTCATGCTGCTATTTCAGAGCACTCAGCATACCATTTTATGGTCCTGATTTTTAGATATTATTCTGTTTTCATAGATTCAATTTTTAGATGCACAAAATTTCACCCAACTGATTTTCAGATAGAAATGGACTAAATCAAATCATACTTAATATTCGTAGATTAACTGGGTTTACCTGAGCTATGGAGGCTTGAGGATTGCCAATTAAGTTTTTAAACGTACGTCTGGACACCCATTTGAGCTGATGAAAAAAGGAAGTTGTGTATGTAATTTGTCTGAAACTGAACTTTGTTTTCTTTTTATTTTGCAAAGAAATATTCTCTAGTACTGCTTTTGTTTCTCTGTAGTATGTAGAATTGGAATACTGCTCTGCTAACTTCTCTGCCAGAGTCTTCTCATGGTTGATGTGTTCTTCAACATTATTTTCTGGTTAAAGAGAAAAAAAAATTGTTATCTCTTATTGAATTCACAGGAAAAATAAATTCTCCAACAGTCATGCTTGTTCTTTTTATTACTAATCAATGAGATAGCAATTATTTGGTGAAATTAATTAATTGGTAAATCATTTAGTGAAATAAATTAATTAACACAGTCTGGTAGCAGCCGATACAAAATACTATAAATAATTTACAATTCTGCTAAGCAGAAATTATCTGTTTTTTGACTACATGTAAGTCACAGAAACTACAGATTGTGTCTTACAGCAAGCTGACCTGATAAAGTCTGCCACTGAATTTCAAAGCCGAGATACTGTTAAATCATAATACATGAACGAGTCTCCCACTGAATTTCAAAGCCAAGATACTGTTAAACCATAATACATAAACGAGTTTCCTCTATGGCTCCCTGCAAACAGTCAATCTCTTAAGCTGGTGAAATTGTTTTAGAGCAGCCCTCTATATGGCTGTCTTCTGGAGAGATCTCCCAAGTCCCACAGGAATGGATTTCTGCTATAGCAGTTGTTTCCCCCCTGCCTTCCTCCTTCCCCTCAATTTTAGCCCAGTTTCTGTTTTTCAGGGTACAAATAGAGCATACATGTATTTGCCATATTAGCTATCAAGTGTGTAATGCAAATAGAATCTTGTAAATTCTATGCATTTCCTTGACCAGATGGTATCACATTACATAAATATACAAATATGTTTGTGTGTGTGCAAGCACACATGTACATATAAAACATAATATACACACATTATCTAGTTGTACATAACATCTAGTCACTGAAGAGGACTAAGCGACAGAGACATTTTACCCAGTCTGAAATGACAATATAGGAAAAATGTAGCTCTAGTTTTGCAAAATTGCTATTTAAATTTACCAGCCTACTTGCTTGCCATTTGCTAGGATGATGATGGAAAGTAAATAACGAGTGAACTATCCACCTATTCACTTCCATGTGCGAGAGAGAGAGAGAGAGAGTGTGTGTGTGTGTGTGTGGAAGCAATGCAGGTCACAGAAGCAGTCCCAATCTGCCATATGCCAGTAAGTTGAAAACTAAGAAACATCAGATGCCAAGGGACCCATTGTCTGTAACTTTCTCTCTCTCTCTCTCTCTCTCTCTCTCTCTCATTCACACACACACACACACACACACACACACACACTGTGCACACAAAGCTATTGGTTATGCCAAATACCTAAAAGTTAACTTTGAGAGGAAAGATAAATGCAAAATATTTTGTCACAGTACAGATCAGTTTTTAGTCCACAAAGAACTTCAGTGTCATACCCAAGTCAGCTTCATCTGTCTTGTTCAATGTCACAGCAGTTGAGTCTCCATTAATGACATCCAGAAAGAAATCAGCAGGATTGTTATATGGCTCACACTCATAACCTGCAAGGAAATAGTATTAGGTCTCCAAAACAAGTCATTCTACAGATAGCAAAATGTTTTGCAGTGCATTTGTTCATGAGTCAGATCCCAATCCGTTTACTTGTGCTGAATAGTAACTTAGAATCATAGAAAATTAGGGTTAGAAGGGACCTCAGGAGGTCATCTAATCTAACCTCCTGCTCAAAGCAGTACCATCTCCAACTAGATCATCCCAGCCAAAGCTTTGTCTAGCCGGGTTTTGAAAACCTCCAAAGATGGAGCTCCCACCACCTCTCTCGGTAACCTGTTTCAGTGTTTTACTACTCTCCTAGTGAGCATATTCTTCCTAATATCTAACCTAAACTTCCCTTGCTGCAACTTGAAACTGTTGCTCCTTCTGGCATCTGCCACCACTGAGGACAGTTTAACTCCATCCTTTTTTGAACCCCCTTCAGGTAGTTGAAGGCTGTGATTAAATCACTCCTCAATCTTCTCTTCTCTAGATTAAATAAGCTGAGTTCCATCAGTTTTTCATCAGAAGTCAAGTCCCCCAGCCCACTCACCATTTTTGTTTCACTCTGCTGGACTCTTTCCAATTTGTCCACATCCTTTCTGTAGTGGCCCAAAACTGGACACAGTACTCCAGATGTGGCCTCACCAGTGCTGAATAATCACCGAAGGAGAATAATCACTTCCCTTGATCTAGTGGCAACGCACCTACCAATGAAGCCCAGCATGCCATTAGCCTTCTTGGCAACAAGGGCACACTTCTGGATCATATTCAGCTTATTGTCCACTGTAACCCCCAGGTCCTTTTCTGCAGAGCTGCAGCCCAGCCAGTCAGCTCCCAGCTTGCACTGGTGCATGGGGTTGCTCCATCCTAAGTACAAGACTTTACACTTGTCCTTGTTGAACCACATGAGATTTCTTTTGGCCCAATCCTCCAATTTGTCTAAGTCACTCTGAATCCTAGCCCTACCCTCCAGCATATCTACTACTCCCCCCAGCTTGGTGTCAACTGCAAACTTGCTGAAGGTGCACTGTGTGCCATCTTCCAGGTCGCTGATGAAGATATGGAACAAAACCAGCCCCAGGACTGACCCTTGGGGCTCTCCACTTGATACTGGCTGCCAACTAGACATTGAGCCATTGATTACTACTCTCTGAGCCTAATGCTTCAGCCAGTTTTCTATCCACCTTACAGTCCATTCATCCAACCAACCCATACTTCCTTAGCTTGCCTGCAAGAATATTGTGGGAGACTGAATCAAAAGCCTTGCTAAAATCAAGGTACACCACATCTACAAGTCTCTCTGCATCCACAGAGCCAGTCACCTCGTCATAGGAGGCAAACAGGTTGGTCAGGCATGACTTGCCCCTGGTGAATCCATGCTGACTGTTCCTGAGAAATTAATTTCTTGAGGATCTGCTCCATGATTTTTCCAGGGATGGAGGTGAGGCTGACTGGTCTGTAGTTCCCTGGATCCTCCTTGTTCCAATTCTTAAATATGGGCCCTTTTCCTATCATCTGGGACCTCTCTTGATCACCATGAGTTTCCAGAGATAATGGCCAATGGCTCTGAAATCACATCAGCTAACTCCCTCAGCACCCTTGGGTGCATTTCACCTGGCCCCATGGACTTGTACACGTCCAGTTTTCTAAGTAGTCCCTAACCTGTTCTTTCAGCACTGAGGGCTGCTCACCTCCTCCTTAAACTGTGCTGCCTGATGCAGTAGTCTGGAAGCTGACCTTGCCTGTGAAAACTGAAGCAAAAAAGGCATTGAGCACTTCACCCTTTTCTGCATCCTCTGTCACAAGGCTGCCTCCCCCATTCAGTAGGGGGCCTATGCTTTCCCTGATCCGCCTCTTGCTACTGACGTACTTGCAGAAACCCTTCTTGTTACCCTTCACATCCCTTGCTAGCTGCAACTCCATTTGTGCTTTAGCCTTCCTGACTCCATCCCTGCATGCCTGAGCAATGCTCTTATATTCTTCCTTAATTATTTGTCCAAGTTTCCACTTCTTACAGGCTTTCTTTTTGTGATTAATTTACTAAAGACTTTCCTGTTAAGCCAAGCTGGTCTTCTGCCATACTTGATAATCTTCCTGTGCATCGGGATAGTTTGTTCCTGTGCTGTCTGTAAAGTTTCTTTAAAATAGAACCAGCTATCCTGGAATCCTTTCCCCCTCATGCTGGCCTTCCAGGGGAACCTGTCCATCAGTTCCCTGGGCAAATTGCTGTCTGCTTTTCTGAACTCCAGG